AGATTTACAGATATCGTAGCTTTGCGGGCAGGAGTCACAATCTTTTTCCTGGTATAAGATCCGAAGCAGCTTCTCGTCTGTTGTGCATCCCTCTCCCTCATCATCATCATCATCATCACACATCAACAACATCAAACAGAGTCTCGACTCAAACAAACAAACAACTCTCCACTACATCTTTTGTACGAGTGTATCACCACCAACTTCACTCCTCTTAATCACTCAAAAGTCTCTACTCGACTACCAAACCAACCAACTCATCACCCAAAATGTCTCCAGCATTCGCCGCCCGCACTGCCGCCCGCATGGCTGTCCAGCGCAGACAATTCTCTCTCCTCACCAATATGCGCAACGTTGCTCGCCAATTTGAGCCTCATCCCTTCCAGAGGATGCCCCAGACTGGCGTCCAGGCCAAGCCCTACTACGGTGCCATGCTCAAGAGACGTGCCGTCACGGCCACAATGTAAGCATTACATTCACAATTCGTGCCTTTTGGTTCAAATCTCGACTAACAGTACACTCTGCAGGTTCTTCCCTCTCTTCACCTTCGTCCTTGGCTGGCCTTACCTCACTAAGGTGGCGCTCGACGGCCACATCTGAGCGAATGCATTCATTCTTCTTGACGAACTGAGTGGAAACATCGATACGGGAGTTTGAAGCTAGAATTTTGGGAATTTGGAACATATCACAGAGATACCTGTACATATCTTATCTCGAGCATCTACGGCGTTCGGGGGCTTCTTGGATTCAGCATCGGTAGAAGTCTGTTCGGACCAGCACTATTTACTTTGTTCAAAACATACGAACTACTTTGCGCGCGTGAGACTCGATTTTATTCAACGACAACTAAATAGAGAGATAAATCTCCACAATCGTTTGCATTCCAAATGTAACCCTTCCGTGTCACCATCTCTGCACTTACACACCTGCTCCAACCGAGACCCTAGAGGCCAGTGCACGCCAGCTCCCAATCGCGCTACTCCACATCTGTCCTAGCAATTCGCGCCCCTGCAGCTCCCCGGACTGAGACCGCGTCGTGCTTGAAGCTGTCCTCCAATTTTGACCACTTTGACAACATCCCATCTCCAGCGACCAACGACGAACGAGCCGACGGCCCAGCGACGACACCGCAAACTCCTGCAATTCTCCCTCGCACACCGGGATCAAAGCGTGCGGGCGTCAATCGTAGCCTCATTTCCCCAACGCCAACGAATCGCCGAGTCCCCACTTGCCAGCAGTCACCGCCAAACACAAACAAAGGGGTGGGTGTGGTTCAACGTGTGCGCGAAATCGGAACGAAACTCGCCGACCCGACGATACATACGACCGGCGGGAACGATTGAGAAGCGGAAGGATTTGAGAGAGAGAACATTTTGATCCTCGGATGCATCGCGCAAGATGACGGACTCGCTGCACAACGCGCCCATCGTCCTGGACAATGGCTCCGGCACCATCCGCGCCGGCTTCGCGGGCGACGACCTGCCAAAGTGCTACTTCCCCTCGTTCGTCGGCCGTCCCAAGCACCTACGTGTCCTGGCCGGTGCGCTCGAGGGCGAGGTCTTTATCGGGCAGAAGGCGGCGACGGAGCTCCGGGGTCTGTTGAAGATCAGGTACCCGCTCGAGCACGGCATCGTCACGGACTGGGATGACATGGAGAAGATCTGGGAGTACGTGTACGGAGAGGGGCTCAAGACCCTCAGCGAAGAGGTGTGTGTTCTGGTAGACCGCGGGGAGATGATGGCGTTTTTCCCCGCCCCAATTTCATCTCGCGATGCTAATGCTTGTCCCAGCACCCCGTTCTCCTAACCGAACCCCCCCTCAACCCCCGCAGCAACCGCGACACGGCCGCCCAGATCCTCTTCGAGACGTTCAACGTGCCGGCGCTGTACACATCGATCCAGGCGGTGCTGTCATTATACGCCAGCGGCCGGACGACGGGTATCGTCCTTGACTCCGGCGACGGCGTGTCGCACGCCGTCCCCGTGTACGAGGGCTTCGCGATGCCGAGTAGCATCCGGCGGATAGACGTCGCGGGCCGCGATGTGACGGAGTACATGCAGACGCTGCTGCGCAAGAGCGGCTACGTCTTCCACACCAGCGCCGAGAAGGAGGTCGTGAGGCTCATCAAGGAGTCCGTCACCTACGTCGCGCACGATCCCAGGAAGGAGGAGAAGGAGTGGGCCAACAGGACGGACTCGGCCAAGAGCATGGAGTATGTTTTGCCGGACGGTCACAAGCTCAAGGTAAGCAACAAAGCACTACTTTCCGTCGGGAAAAGGATTTAGAGAGGGGACGAAAAGTGCTAACCGTGATGCTAGATTGGCGCGGAACGCTTCAGGGCACCAGAAATCCTTTTCGACCCCGAGATCATCGGCCTCGAGTACCCGGGCGTGCACCAGATCGTCGTCGACGCGATAAACAGGACGGACCTCGACCTGCGCAAGTCGCTGTACAGCAACATTGTGCTCTCGGGAGGCAGCACGCTAACCAAGGGCTTCGGCGACCGTTTGCTCACGGAGCTGCAGCGGTTGGCCGTCAAGGACATGAGGATAAAGATCTTTGCGCCGCCGGAGCGCAAGTACTCTACATGGATCGGAGGAAGTATCTTGGCTGGTCTCAGCACTTTCAGAAAGGTGAGTCTTCTCTCCCCCGCTTGGGTCGACGAAGTGACATACTGACAACCGTGACAGATGTGGGTGAGCATCGACGACTGGCACGAGAACCCGGATATCATCCACACCAAATTTACGTGAGACGGCTTCTGCGTTTTGAGTTTTATACGAAGCGGCTTTCTAGATGCGTTTACTCTGCACATTCTTCTGCCCACGCTTTTTTCCAATAGAATCTGGGCGTGTCTCCATTAGATGAGCAAGACATACACCGTAGACGCGTGGCGAAAGAAGGGAATGCCTTTTCTTCCCGGTTGTCAATCAACGTATGTGTCATGGGAAGACGACGGGAAGAGAACCGGAGGGAGGACTGGCTAGATTTTGTTTTCCAAAGATTACCCCCTTCTAAAAAAAAAAAGCTTTCCCTGGCGTTGCGAGAGGCCAGGGGTTCAGGCAAGGTAGGCAGCATGTTGAGGTAATGAGTCAGCTAGAAAGTTGAGAATGATACCCGAGTCTTGTTGTCCCTTTTGTGTATATGATAAAAGCTGCGAACTGCTAGCATGTATCACCCGTAAACGACTTACGGACGACTGAAGGCTCTTGTAGATGACGGGCTGCGTATGTTCAACTACGCAACGCCCGCAGTTGCGCTCTGGCCTTGAGTGCCACGACTGTCACCTGCCAATGACGGGGCTGACTTGTGACATAGATATCACAGCCGAAATAAGAAACATGCCTTGGGAGGATTGAAAAGCAACGATGCCGAGATAAGACGAGAAGAAAAGATGGTTCGTGGGAGCTCTGACCTCTTTGATAAGGATAAGGTCTCATCTATACTAGAAGGCTGTTGCTTTTGGAATAAGCAATGTGAATACTCACATGCGCAGGCCATGTGCGGGCGAGACATTTGTTTCATGTCGTGCGTTGGGAGTATCGGGTATGGCTTACGGGCGTGTGCTATTTAAGGGTGTTTGGGGTGAGGATTCAGAATCTCTTGGGCAACGAATGTCAGAGCTCTCGGGTTGATCAATGATTAAGAAAGGATTGTTTGTGGCTTGATTGAGGTGACATGTGATGCGATGCTATGAGGCAGGAGGTTTCTATGATTGGCATGAGGGTTTGACATCATTGTCTGTTTCTGCCTCTGAAGTATTCTCTCATAGTTGTGGTGCCTGAGTGTAGTGTGTTTTGAGTGGTTTGCGAAGTCGTCCCTCCGTTCACTGTTTCTCAGGCAGCTTTCTTAAGGAGTACGACGACGTACGTCAAGATATCATTGTCTGGTGATTCTAGGTTGATGAAGAGCAAGTCGTGACATTGATATACCTCCAAATGATGTGGCTCATGACTGTTCCCAAAGATGCTGCCCATTTCTACAAAGTCTAATAATTGTTTCCTGCTGTCTTCCGGGCGGTATTTCGATGTTGGTGACAACAGGTGTAATAATATGTAGTATATATTTGGGCAATTTGGTTCATCTGCTTGAACTCGACAAACCATTCATTGTATGGGATGGCGAGCGTAGAGCCCAATTCTCAAGTCCTTTTCAAGTCCTATACTTTGAACCATTGTGGTTCAGACACGGGGAGCACGGAGACTGGCACATTTCCGTCGATATCATTGGAAGAGCCGCCCATATCATTTGCTGCGCCACTGTCCGTCAATGTTGTCCAGCGCCGGTTTATTCCTGTCATAGTCGTTCCGAGAGCTTTCGATTCAGTGTTGGTGTTGCCGTTGTGACTATAAAAGATGATTCGCAACCTTTGGGTTTTTGAGTCACAAACAGACTAGCAATCATGGGCGATTGACTTTCCTCTGGTTCTTCTTCGTAAGGTGCCGGTGGCCTCTTTTTATTGACCATGCACAGGGGTCGATGCCGTGCACTCGTGTTGAGTGAGTTTGTGCGAGGAAGAGGTACCAGTTCGACAAGGCAACGTCCACGAGGAATCGGCAGTTATGCGTTTGATATTCAAAGCTCGAGTCACAGGCATTGTTCAGGATCAAGGTGGAGTATTTGAAGGTTTATAAACTTTCAATTCAAGGGCTCCATCATCAGATGGGCCATGCTATCCAAATGAAATTGGGGGGTATTGTGTCGACTACTCGACTTCGCTCAAAAATCGTAAAACGCCCATTCTTTTTTCCCGCTATGCTCCCATATCTCTGGCATCTTCCAGCCAGAGAATGATTTCCTGCAAACGGTTTCTTCGTGTTTGCTCCAAGGCAACAACCTCCCGGTTCTCTTTGTGAGAATCTCCTTTGCTTTTCCCCCTATGACCACATAAGTATCCGACAAATGACTTTTTTTGGTTTCCAAACGCCTTGCTGAGTTCCGTTGCTTTTTTATGACATGATTTTGTTGATGTAGTGGAGACAGTAGACCACGAGAACCGCTCAGTTCTTCTTGGAAGCGAGACGGCGAAGGAAGCTGCCGCCGCGCTCCTTGATGGACTTGAGCGACGAGCCGGACGAGGCGGAGGACTCCTCGCTCAGGACGGAGGAGGCGTCGGAGCCCTTGCGGCGGGAGACGTTGCCGGCGCCGCCGATGCCGACGTGGCCGACGACGGCGCGGTCGCGGACCTGCTGGCGGTCAAAGTCCTCATCGAAGCTGATGACGGGCCTCTCGGTGGCGCTGTGGGCGTTGCCCGCGCCGCCGATGCCAGAGTAGAAGCGGCGGGCGCTGTTGTTGGCGGAGACGGGCTTGAGGGGCGTGGTGACGCCGGTGGCCGGGGTGGTCACGGGGGCCTTGAAGATGTTGCCGGCGCCGCCGCGGCCCGAGTAGATGTAGGTGTTTGGTACCACGGTGGGGTGAGGCTCTGTGACGAAGATTTGGGAAGGCATCTTGGAGGATGTGTGCGTGGTGTTGTATTGTGGTGTAGGTTTGGTGTAGGTTGTGATCCGTGTAAGTGGGTTGGTTCACGGGTTGTGTCGTCTGAACTCTCGGATGAGGGAACGGAGCTTGGATGAAGCAGAAGCTTGGATGTCTTGGAATGAGTCAATGATGGGAAGCGAAGTCGACCGTGAGAGACAGAGGAGGGTCCATGGTCTATATAGGTTTTGTTTGTCTTTCAAGGCGTGAGCGTGAGGAAGGAGGGAGGGGTGGTGGGCGGCCAAGTACCATCGTACACATACACGCCAGGGAGAAACGGCGGCCAGGCTCTGCGGCGTCCGCCTGACGTGCAAAAAGTTTCCCATGGGCTGAGTGACGGCGTTGCACTGGGGGGGAGAGAAGAAGTCACCTGGCGGTACGTAGCTACGTACAGCTCGCGCGCCCCATTGCAAAAAAGAATTTTTAGCGCTGGAGGGAAAAGTTTTGGCGGCTCTATTGCGGTGCCGTAGGTACCTACTTCTCAGAGGGGACAGACGGGGGGGCCAGAGTGGGAGCGGAAGAGGGACTGAGGGGGTAGATCTTGGTTGCAAAATTAGGACGGTCCCGAGGCCCCGAAACGTCGGGAGCGGAGCTAGTTGCTGTAGGCTAGAGGCCAGAGCTAGGGCTGGCAGAGCTTGGTTTGGGACAGCTCCTGGGTAGCTTGGTTCGCTGTCGTTGGTTGCTCTTGTTCCCCGTGACTTGGACCAGGGTACCAGGAGAGTGGTTTCTGCGCAGTGGAGTGTGAGAATGGCCAAGGAGGAGTACCGTCGTAAGAGCTCGAAATGTCTTGATGCAGCTGGGTGGATGACTGCGCGTCGTCCTCATTCCTACGGCATTCAGAGGACCAGTTTGTGAGGCTTGACTTGCATCAATGGGATGATGAAGACATGTTGGGACGTAACAGTAGGGGTGAGACAGGGTTTCTGATCGGAGGCATGCTGCATATGCCGTCCGCCTACCTCTCCCCTTGCTTAACTTACCTCGGGCACGCTCCTGGTGTTAGAGAGCCATCAGTCATCGGCCTTTAAGGAGTTGCGTGTAAGACGCCCGGACATTGGATATTGAGAGTCTGCTGTTATCTGCAAAATAAGCAAACCCAGATAGGATATCTTTCTGGATTTGTTTATTCTGATAAGAAGCACAAAGAAGCAAACAGCAAACATGTCCAATTCGTCGTCAGCCAAGTACGCATCATGTCGAAACGGACATGCCCGCGCAAATTGCCAATTGCACCGGCGCAAGGCGAGCTCCTCTGAGATGAGGTGGCACCCTTCTGTCCTCGTCTAAACCAGATCTCAGCTAAGCAGTTTTTTCTCGAGTCTTTCGGTCTCCCCACTTTCCACAGTGGCCCCGCGTGATGCAAACCTGCTACCGGATGGCGTTCTAGAGTCACGCGGGGCCACTTTCTGAGGAAACGAAGAAAAAAAACACCTCGAAAACCACAAGACGCCATTGCGTTCTGAGGCAATCTGTTAGCAAAGCGTTACCCCATCGATTGCCGCTTTCGGCTGTAGCGTAGCACTTTGGGCCACTCAGAGGCTTGGACCACAACTAGGGAAAGATGGGGCTAATGCAAGGAACTGGAAAGTCTCCTCTGGACTCTGGACCTCTGGCTGGAAGTTTTTTTTTTTTGGTGCCAATTTTTTCTGCTCTCTCAGTTTCTGTTGTCCGCAGAGCTGGATCTGCTGCCAGCATGTTTTGTTCCCGTGTCCGTCGAGACCGGCGAGGTACCGCTACACATAACCCCCTGTCTAGGGCCCCACGACATGGTCAACGACGTCAAAGATCCAATTTGGGGCCCCCTGGCGCGACCAGTCAGCAGTTTCCTGGGGGTAATGGAAATTCTGTTTGCCGCGACGACGACGGTCACCAGACCTTTCTGAACCCATGTCGCAAATGCCACGATTCTTGTTGCAAGTTGAGGAGTCTGGGGAAACCGACGCCCTCGTCTGTCGTCTGTTCGTCGTCTGGGTTTTTCATGGGCCCCGCCTTCGTTGGCGGGAAACGTGCTCGCTCGAGGAGTTGCTGTTCGTTGGGGTCGTGGCTGGGTGTGTTTGGTGATGTGACGCCAACGTGTGGTCTCATTTCGCGATATCGTTGACGAATGCTGACGAGTGGTTTTGCCATGCAGATTGAGAGTGCCTCAACCGTGGGTTTGTCGTCGACAACGTGCTGAGGCGTTTGGCTGACAAGATGATCATCAACCTGATTGTCCATGAAGTCTGAGCGGCAGACGGGCTGTAGTTGAGATCCCAGAGTCTTCGAACACGTTGACAAACAAACGCAGATTGTGGTTACAGCCGGCGACTTCGCCAAGCACCCCTTTGCAAGTCGAGGAGCTCTCGCAGTTTGTCTAGTCGCCCTCGACGCCCGCAACATCTTACAGATCACAACGGTCCGTCCCGCGAAAGCTGCCATCTCAAACTCCCCATCCCGCCCATCCTGCCCATCCTCCCGTCGACGACGACAAACGTCTCTGGGTCTCTCGCTTCTCCAGATTCGAGCGAGTTCCACCGTCGGCGCAAATACCCAGGTCTCAGATCTCGCTAGCAACACAGAACAAAGCCGTCCCCGCCTGGGCCTCCGTCCCCCGACGCGCCGGCACGCCTCCCTCTCGCCCACCTCACCATTACGTACAAATTGCAGCTCTCTCTGCCTTCCCCGGATCTTCACCTCTTTCTCTCCCCCTTTCGCTACCCCGCGTCCTGCCGACTGAGGAAGCAAAAACCTTAAAACAGGTCGACGGTGCGGTGTGACATCTGATCAACAACACTGCCCGCTTGCGAGAGGGCCTGGAAAGGGAGGGTAGGGATGCTCCATTCATTAGGTAATGGCGTTCTGCTTCAGGGCTGAGCGCCCGCAACAACGTGGTTGAGACTAGCGGTCGAGGAACGGCTGTCTTGGTCTGTTTGATGGTGGCTGGGACATGTTTTACCCAAAGGAGACGCGCGTTTGATGTTGTGAGACTGCGTCTCTTTGTGATGTTGGTGATCTTCCTGTGAGTGAGAAGCCACCCCTGACTGTGGTGAGGACGAGCATCCCCGAACGATACTTGATGTGCTCGTGATCTGCCCCAGCCAAATGACAGTATCCATTCAGTGGCTTTGTAGATTCTCATGTGTATGCCAGTGTAGTCCTCCTTAGAAGCCGGTCGCGTGGCAATCCTGAGCCGGACTACTTATTGCTCTCAATGCCCTACGTCTGCAACGGGTTGAGCATAGCCAGGCCCTCTAAGGTACCTGGGCCAGGGGCTACGGTCCATGGATCACGTACCCTGCGTACGCAATGGCGAAGCTTTTCTCATCATCTTCGGGACTGTCTCGCAATGGCTAACAGACGAGCCGTAACATGCGGGACTAGGGTGTCCAGAGCCGTTTTGCCGAGGCTCGTCATCACGATATTCCCCACAGATCTCGCGTAGTCATCACGGGTTATGGATTAGTAACAAGCCTTCAAATCCAGTGCATAGTATGAATGGCACAAGGGACTTTAGCTAATACTGAGCAAGCTAAGGCTGCATTAAATGGTGGCTTTGAACGAAGAGTCTCATGCTCGGAATAGAATTCTTTCCCGGTCCATTGCCGAAAGCCCGGATTGGAAACTTCTAAGGCCTTTGCTCTTTTGAGTGGGTTTGTGGAAATGTCTGTATTCTCTGGCCGGAGTTAGTGCCACGAGGACGTTTGCATTCATTCGCCGTTTCGCGCGGCTGTCCTCGGTTTATGGTATCGGAATACTCCCCGGAAAGCGGTAGGATATTCTCACCGACCTGCTCTCAATGCTATGGGTAGAACCTTCATCTGCATAGATTTCGATAATGGTTCCAGTGATAATCCGTATGCAAACCGCCCAAGATGATCGATTGATCTGGTTCCTCGGTGAGTCAGTTCAAACTTCAAAGGGTTGGTTACCCTTATGCTGAAATGCTTTGCGGAGTGTCAAACAATCTTTCCCTGTATCAAGCAATGTATTGGGTAACAGCGATACTCAAACTCTTGATTGATTTCACCCACAGCGACAAGAGCTGGTCACCTGACGGGGTTTCCTACAATGTTCACAACGATCATCTCGAGATCCTGATGGCGACAAGACTGAAAACTCATTTCTAGGCCGACATAGTTTTGAATGACGCAAAGACGCCAATGTCGGCTCTCATTCCGAGTACGTCTGAGAACACAGCACTCAGCAGGGTAAACCGATGGGAGTAGATGGCAACCCCTTGCGTGGAGAAGGGTTTGCGGCCAGACGGTGAGCTCCCGTCGTGTATCACGTACGAATGATGATGAGAAATCGCAAGACAGAGCTCGGTGGTGTTGGCCACACTCACAAGAGAGGTTCATTCGTACATGCTTTGATCATTAAACTTTTAACGAGTCCAAGACGGGGAAGCCTGACACATAATGTGAAGACGTCTCATGCTAGTGACTGTCGATTGACAATTATGGATGGCTGTTTTGGACCTTAAAACCTGGCTTGAACAAACCTTAGACGATATGAAGCACATATAAAAACTATGTAACTGTTGAGAAGCTGGATAGCCTCTTTTCCAACAGAATCTCGTGAGCACGAAGAGGAAGTAGATGCACTCCGGTCGACCCCATCTGACCAACAGAGGCAAAGCTGAGGAAGCAGTTAGCACAACGCCCCCAGCTTCATGTGGCTGTGAATCGTTTCGCCTTGGTTCATCTCTGTCTGTGTATCATCAGAAAAAGATTCTAAAGCCGAGGAAGTACAACGGTACTGGTGTTTGGTCCTCCGACATGACTTTTAGACACGAAGGTAGGTACCACTAATGTGCATGAATGAGATAGCTCGCAACTGCTTTCAGGGCTTACTATGACTTGGACTATATCGAAGGACAACCTCAATGGCGTTTCGTCTCTATTTATGGGGCGGAAGCCATGGACTCAGCATTGATAAATCATGGCTTCAATTCAGAAAATACAGTCTTTTACTATCTTTGACGAAGAGGCCT